GGCCCTCTCTTCACTACATGCACGAAAGACTAAAAACAGGGGACAAAAAGATGAACCGTGAAGCAGCACCCAAACAAAAAGCAAGGAAAAGAAAAATAAGAAAATTTGGATAGTTTGCAAGATACCACCAGAAGTTGAGATATATGCCAAAATGTTCCGAAAAGATGTGGGTAGATTGGAATGCCCCTCTGACGGAAAACATATTTTATGAAACACCCCTGGCGCTGGTTGGAACCCCATCTTTGCAATATACTCCTACCGGCTACCGTCCAACTTACCAAAATGCCTGGGTACTTGCCAACTTTTCACATGCGCGTATGCGTGTATGCGTGTGTGTGTGTGTGTGCGCCCAGGCGAGCGAGCCTGGGGCCACCCTTTTCTCTTTTACGGCAGGAAAAAGAAAAGGGGGGCACAAGACGACAGGCGGGAAAAGGGTGGCCTCACGTTCAAAAAAAAAGAAAAGGGAGACATTAAACGACAGGCAGGAAAATAAAAGGAAAGGGGGACACAAAACGACATGCGCAGGAAATGAAAGAAGAAGGAAAAGCCGACTGGGGAAAAGAAAACAAAAAAAAGAGGGGACACAAAATGACAGGCGCGAGGAATGAAAAAAGGAAAGGGGGGACACAAAATGATGGTCAACCGGGGAAAAGAAAAAAAAAAGAAGGCGGACACAAAGCGACGGCCAACCGGGGAAAGGGAAAAAATTAAGGCGCCCGCATAGCGGATTGCTCGCCTCTGAGACATTTGTCCGCATCAACGCTGGCAGTGTGCCCGCCCCCCGGGGCACTCGCTCTCGTTTCATGGCGTGCTGTGAACATTTTGGTACGCGCGGCCCTTCGCTCCCTGCCCCGCCCTTGATCGCCTTCATCCCTGCCCCTCACCAACACTTCGACCCGAATCCAGCATGCAGCGCGCCATGGACCTCCCCCCCGCCGCCAATGCTGCTTAAGCACCTTAAGGGATAGGATGGTAAGACACCTCACCCTGGTGGCCAAGTGATGCACACACGTTGCTGCAAATACAACAAAAACATCCAGAGTTCGAATCGTGCTGGACATCATGAGGTTAGGGGCTAGCCCCTTAAAAAAATAAGGAAAAAGAAAGTTGTAGCTCTTACCGTGACATTGATTCATACTGCTTCGATAAGCTCAAGCCTGTCCCGTCGCCACCTGTCAAAACGCCAATAACAAAGAACAAAGGGGTAGGTCGTTATGTTACGTTGAGGCAGTGAGTATGTGTAGCGCTCTCTCTCTCAAAATCAGTGCAAATCATGTTGCTTCCAGTACTTCATTGGGTCAATCGTAGAGGCACGATTTGTGTTGGTATACCATTACTCCTACTGAGTGTCGTCCAACTGAATCAGGGCATTGTCCTCGTCAAATACATCAAGAAAAGTCCAGCTGTACATCCAAAATCGATGAAAATACATCAATCGCGCACAAGGTGCAAGTTTTGCTGCTGGCCTTGATCAGACACGGAATTCGCCGTGGCTGTAGAAACGTGCTGGCCTTGAGTGTGCAAGGCCACCCACCACATTGATTGGAATATGCGTGTTTGCATCGAAGAAGTGTCGTTGAGTCAGATGACTGACCGCCTATGATGGGTTGTGACAAGCGACCACATTGATTGTTTTTGTTTTTCTTCTAATGGAAACATCATTTGTCGAAGGGCTCAGTTTGGGGGTGAGGGTTGGGGCCACTCGCGGCGGACCGGCTAACACAAGGACCCAGCATTTGCCAGTTGGCCCCATAGCCTGAGTATGACGTGGGTGACCATGAGTGGCAGCTGATTCATATGGCGCTTAGGAGCGGCTCTACGTAAGCTTCATACGTATCACCTTTTGGTCTGTCGTCGAGGGCTTCTCTACAGGCTTCAAGGTCCCTACCATCGTCGATTACACAGACACAACTTTCTGTACTCTACTCTCATGCAATCCCTTGAACGTGATGTAGCTAGGATTGCAGGGGTTCCCTGTGTAGCCTTAGGAGTAGTGGTAGGTACTGGAAGGTGACCTGAGAGAGGGAAAGGGGGGGTAGGGGGGGAGTATCAAGATAAGAACGTCAAATTCCAGACCGAAGAACCCCCGATCTATTCCTATCGACAAGACTCCATTTTTAAGAAAACACGAGGACGCCCGCTGTAAACGTGAGGGGACCAAGAGGGGTGAAGGGGGAAATAACACATTGAAATAAAAAAAGCATCAACTCTACCGCCCTCCCTCCACTACTCTCGACATGCATAAAAGACAAAAATCATGGCGGTGTATCTTTCCACGTTCTAGCGAAAGATTCACTCTCGTCTTGCACGTTTCGAGAGTGGGGTTGGTGGGGGGGGGGGGAACACATTGCAGGGGTGGTATAGAAAGAACAAAAATCATGGCAGTGTATCTTTCCCTGTTCTAGCGAAAGATTCACTCTTGTTTGCACATTTTGAGAGCAGTGAGGTACACGATGGAGGGCAAGATCACACTGCAGACCCAAAAATTCCAAAATCGCATTTTCTAAAAAAAATGGAATACCCGATTTGGGAAAATAGTGGCTGGACCGGTCACACTGCTTCCCCATTTTGCAACAGACAAGGTTGCGACCGCCTGGATTTTGGGTCCTCTTCTACTGTTCCAGTCACACTGCAAGATCGCATTTCCTGGCAATATCTTCGTCTTCAAATTTATTTCCATTTCCGCAGGTTGATTCCAAACAAGAAACTTTAAGGGAACTTGCGGTAACCTCCCAAGGTTACCGAGGTTACCGCAAACTCCCAACCCCCACAGCCCCTCAGGCGACTGACAAATGGGGTCACGAATAAGTAGTTTGGGGAAATGCGATCCTGGTGTGACTATCCCTTGACACTATTTTTTCAGGACTTTGGGGATTATACGGATTTGGCACTGTTGTGTGAGTGTGACCTGAGGAAAAGAAAAACCTGGTAAGGGCCTCCATGCACTACTCACCAAATGTGCAAAATCAAAATGGATCTTGTGCTAAAACATGGACAGATACACCACCATACTTTTGTTTCTAATGCATGTCCTGAGTAGTGAAAGGGTCTTTTGAGCAGGTGGAAAGATACACCATTATTGTTATTTTATTTTTTTGTCTTCTGTGCATGCCAAAGGAATCTACTAAAGAAAAAAAAAAGTGAATCCACTGTGCACCTTCCCATGTTCTAGCGGGAGATTCATTCTCATTTTGCACATTTGCGTCTGCCCCCAGTTACTTGTATTTGAACGTCTAGGAACAGCAGTGGATTTGAGGGCCTCGCCACACCACTATCGAAATGCCTTTTTTTTCGACAACTGTCAGAATATTTCGATAGTCCTGCATTCGATAGAAAACCCCCCTTTCGCCAGACAGCACTATCGAATCATACGGGTATCGAATGTTCTCCATTCCGGGTCCGCATTCGATAGTGTTGTGTGGCGACCACGCCTCTCCCGACGAATTGCTTGGCGAATTGCTACTGGAGTGCCTGGAGCCCTCCGATGTCCCATGGGCCACTCCGATGGGCGCGTTTCCGGACCACGATTGCCACTGCCCTCTGGATATTCGATACCGGACTATCGAAAAGAAAAAAAAAACAAAAACTGACGTCGTCAGCGTGAGGGTTGTGGCGGCTAGCGCGTGCATGGGCGGTATTTCGATAGTCCAGAAAGGAGGCTGTCGAAAAGAAGGCCATTGCAGGCGGGCGTTCACAGTTTGTTCGATAGGGCTATCGAATTCCGATGTCTGACACCTATCGAAGAATTTCACAGCTGTATTTTTCGATAGGCTGTGTGGCGATGCGAAACTCACGAAAATTCATGTTTCGATAGTGGTGTGGCGAGGCCCTGAGTGACCGCCCTTCCACTGTGCACCTTCCCATGTTCCAGCGGAATATTTATTCTCATTTTGCACATTTGCATCTGCTCCGAGTTGCTATGCGCTTGTATTTGAACATACGGGGTTGCTATGCGGGGTTGCTATGCGATTCTATTTGAACATCCGGGGTTGCTATGTGCATCTATTCGAACATCCGGGGTTGCTATGTACTCCTATTCGAACATCCGGGGTTGTTATGTGCTTCTATTCGAACATCCGGGGTTGCTATGTACTTGTATTCGAACATCCGGGGTTGCATGCGCTTGTATTCAAACATCCGGGGTTGCTATGCACTTGTATTCAAACATTTGGGGTTGCTATGCACTTGTATTCGAACATCTGGGGACAGAAGCGGATTCTATTCGAGTGACCGGACTTACCCCATGCGGCCTGCTTGACCCATCTTGGAAACGCGAGACCCTCCGCCGTGGCCCGGCATCAGCCCCACCCCAGGCACGGCCATTATCTGGCCCGTGTGACATTGAGGGTGTTTGTTTTAGAACATGAGGGACGTGCAGCATTGGGGGGGCATCGGACAAGGCATCAGCACGCTGTCTGATCCTTTGTAAATCAGAACTATTTTATTGTGGTCGCCCGTGAGTTTCGGCCAAGGCATCAACACGCCGATCCTTTGTAAATCAGAACTATTTAAATGTGGTCGCCCGTGGATTCAAACTCACATCTACAATTGAACAGTTTCGTGTGTGCATTATTGAGCAGCCTACCAATGTGCAAAATGAGAAGGAATCTTCCACAAGAATATAGGAAGATACACGGCGGCGGACAGATACATTGCAAAGAGATCCCAGTGTGAGTATGGACTAAGGAGCTGACAGATGCAAATGTCATCGCGCGCATGTTTGTTTTAGAACATGAGGGACGTGCAGCATTGGGAGGGCATCGGCCAAGGCATCAGCACGCCGTCTGATCCTTTGTAAATCAGAACTATTTTATTGCGGTCGCCCCTGGATTCGAACTCACGTCTGCACGTGAGCGGTTTCATGTATGCATCATCTGACCAGCCTGCCAATGTGCAAAATAGAAGGAATCTTCCGCAATAACATAGGAAGATACACCGTGACGAACAAATACATTGCAAAGAAATTCGGGTGTGAGTATGGACTGAGGAGCTGTCAGATGCAAATGTCACCCCGCACGCGTGCGAGCGAGCAAAAGAGAGAGAGAGAGAGAGAGAGAGAGAGAGAGAGAGAGAGAGAGAGAGAGAGAGAGAGAGAGAGTTTTCCATCCATAGGATTCGTGAAATGGGAATGAATCTGTCGCTAGAACATGGAAATATACACTAACACATTTTCGGTCTTTGGCAGTGTATATTTCCATGTAGTGGTAGTGGATACTTCCATTTTCTAAGGGAAGATTCAATCCCATTTTGCTCATTTCGTGAAGCGTGGCAATGTCGGTCAGTGTGTGTGTGTGTGTAGGAAGAGCCATAACATGGAAATATACGTTGAGAACAGGTAAGTCTTGAACCTCGAGGCTGGTCTCATGGTACTTCCATCGATAGGATGCATCTATTGTCGCTAGAACATGAAAATATACACTGCCACACTGGTTTGTGTGTGTGTATGTGTGTGTGTGTGTGTGTGTGTGTGTGTGTGTGTGTGTGTAGTGTGTGTGCTAAAGCACTGGATAGTATGCACAACATACTATATGGGCTTCAACTGACTATGTTGGCATATCTTAGGGTGACGACCATAGGGCGGGAGCAGCATGACTAGGCAACTGGACCGTATACTTTTCCAGTGAGTCGTCAGGATGATAATTGCAAACTTACTATTAACCGGGGGTTTTTCAATCAGCATACAATTGTCTTCCCTTAGTTTGTTTCTCTTCAAGGGTTGTTTGTAGGGGAGAAGGAGCTTCAGAGGTAGGGTGACTCAGGGAGCTCTTCCTTTTGTCCATGTCTCAAGTCAAGGGGGTTAAATGAATAAACCTCACTTAATTAGATGCAGCTTTGGCTTTAAGTGCACCTGAGATTCGGGGGCATAGAAACAAGCGACGATGGTCGTTTGGATATTATCAATGCTCTTTGAATGCTTAGTGCTTTTTTACGCGAAAAGGTAGAAGAGAACTCATGTTCCTTTTAAGGGATCGTGCAGTGAGAACATTCATGATTTCCGTTTTTTGGGCGCCATGTGCCTTTTCTTGCTATAAAATTAATAATAAGAAAAATAACAAAATAGTGATTGTCATAATACAGATCTAGCAATGCACTGCTAACTATTTTTCATGGGGATTCATCGTGAGTTCGCTCGCGACCCATGGGGCGTGAATACGAGTGATGATGCTCGCAT